TAGGGGATGGGAATTCTGCCTTGGGCGTGTCATGAGGATCAGTGGTTCTCAGTAAAGCTGGTGAAACTCACTGTATCAAGGAGTGCAAAATGACCAGCTGATAAGCACAGGATCAAAACCAAGAGGTGTGGTACCTTTGTGATGGAGAAGTCCAGCCTGACGTAGATGATGACAGTGAAGAACAAGATGTAGAAAGCAGCCACCACCAGCAAGGGCTCCTGTAGCATGAGGACCTTGTTGAATGTGTAGTGGACCTGTGAAAGGAACCAGGAAGATGGTTTTTACAGGTCTATCTTTTCAGACTAGAACCACCCAACTTGGCTCACCCACAAGAAACTCCTTCCTGCTATCCGCTGCCCAACGAGCCCTAGTGGCACAGTAGTTAACAGTTGGGCTGTTAACTGCAAGGTCAGCAGTTTGAAACCACCAGTGCCTTCTCAGGAGAAAGGTGAGACTTTAAACTCCCACAAAGTTGGTCTCAGAAACCCACAAGGACAGCTCTACCGTGTCCTATAGGGTTGCTATGATTTGGAAACGATGTCAGTTGAGTTTGGTTTAGTTTTTTTATCTGCTGAGCCACCTCTATCCCCAGATATGGTTGTAGGTCATACCACTCCCACACTCCAAGAAGGAAAGAGGGATCACTCTCTGACTCCCAACATTCACTCTGGGAGGAGGAAAGTATGGGAGGCAAAACAATGAAACCACTTACCACAATGTCCTGAATGTGCTGTTCTACCAAATTTTTCTTGTATGCGACAATCACAGGACGGCCAAATGTGTCCAGATAGGTGTAGTGCAGCTCATCTTGGGCCCTGCTGATCTCATAGGGACTATCAACTTGGATGTTTCTAAAGACAGGGGGAAACCAAACATGGTCAGAGATAAACTGCACTGGCAAATGAAATGTAGGGCTGGAAAATTCCAAGGAGAAGGAAGGGGCCTTCAAAGTCACTAAGCTCATACTCCGCCCTCTGCCCCCTTCTCACAACAGGATGCACCACCACCAAAAAGCCTAAAGGACTATCGAATTCTGCTGAGGCTGTCACTGCTCCCCTCCGTCCTCCTCCACTCACAAGTGCTTAACATGTCCACTCCGTGCCTAGAATCACACAGCTACCACATCATTCTACCACAGGATAGGGCTTAAAGCACTTAGAGAGGCCCCTCATGAGTTACTCCAAATATTCTTCCTCAACCCATGACTGAAAACGTGTTATAGGATGTAATGGACAGGTATAGTACAAACTAAAACCTCACAGACCCATTCGCTCTTCTCTTAGTGAATGGCACACTCTAGTTTTGCTTCAAGGAACTACCCTCACCACTTGACTGTCTTCCAAAGGAAGGAACCAGCAAGGCCCCTCTCCTTCAAGTGATTGGAGTATGTGACCCAAAAGAAAGCTAAAGAAATGTCCCCCCTTTTAAATTCATCTAGACTAGGCAGCGGCACAAACAATGAAAACACAAGTTGCTCCCTCCACCCCAGGCTGGTCCCACATCAGGGTGCCATTCAGTTTGTCTCCCACTTAGACAGGGATAGGCTTTGGGCTATCCTTTCCAAAGCCTCGTTCTCAGCTTGGGCTTTGATCTCTTATCCTTCGGCTAGATTCCTGGTTTAAATTGCCCGATAGTCCTATTACCTGTAACCATCCAATGCTAGCACACCTTATTTCCTGTTCTATTCCTCTTTTCTAACCTGGCTGGCATCCATCTTAAACACACATCAAGAGTAGGACAAGAACCATGTCCACGGTTTTCTGTTTTTAACTTTGCATTCTGTCCTGTCAGATAACATCTCAGCAGGTTCAGGCCACATTTCTGACATAATGAGTTGTCTTGGGATACTGCCCTGGTCATGCAACAGCAGTTTTCGCGAATGGATGGAATACTTGTATTTGAACCTAACACCTGTTTGGTTATATTCCCACAGGCTTCTGAGTTATAACTGTATCTTGACATATGGAAACAACTAGTCGAATGGACTAATGGCTCACTCAAACGTCAGCTACCATGACTCTCAGAACAGAAAATCTAGGTGGTGTATGGATACCACTACCAACTGCGATGAAAGGGTTCACATTATAAGGTTATGGATAGAGTGAAAGAAATATGTGGAACAAAACTAGAAATCCTAAGATAGGCCAAGCTTACAGTCAAATCTAGGCTGGTGAAATCCCTGAGAGTATGGCCCCCAGTCACCCTTCAAGTCTGGAAACGAACTCACTCCCACGGCTTATTTTTCAGCCAAACAGTAACACTGGGGAGGTGTGCACATCTTAGAAAAATCAACTATTTGAGACCCAAAGAGCAGCATTTACCTAAGGACAAAATTCAAAGGGGCTGAATAAAGGGAGAAATAGAAGCAGGAAACCCAGGAAGGTAGCAGAATAAGTGATGTTGCATTGAGAAAATGGCAATCAGTGAGATTACACAAGATATACGTGAAATGTCAAATATGAAATGGAGGATCTACTCTGTAAAGCTTCCAATAGTTCATAATGATAAGTAATGCAAAACCTACCCCATGCTCCTAGGAGACAACCCTCTTTCAGTGTTGAAAAGTAGGCTGCAGAGGACGGGTGCAGTCACACTTACTTGGCCCCTTCAGGCAAGATGATCTTCACAGTTAGAGAATCTATCACTTGCTCATCAAATACATGGTCCACAAACCTCATCTTCAGCGCATACTGGTCACCTGAAAAATCAAGAAATCATATGCAATAATATGAAAAACACAAAAAATGGGACAGGTGGCAGGAGAAGCACAGTCTTACAGTGTTTTCATCTTAAGCAGAGGGGAGGGATGAGTTGTTACCCAAAGTCCACAGGCAAGTGGGCGCTGAGGAGACAAAGGGGTGGGGGTACCATGAATTTTGCCTAATCTCTACATTAAAAAGCGAGCAATAAATGAACCAAGCCAAAACCCAGGGGCCTTATTTAACATGCTATCTCCACAGAGTGAGAAAATGAAAGCAACACAGATACACACATTACCTACCAGGGTCTGGGAAAGCAGAAGGAAATAAGAGGGTGACAGATGGACCAGAGAGCAGGAGAATGTCAATACAAAGCCAGCAAGCATGGCAGGCCAATTTGAGAAAAGCCGTTTCCTTCTGTCCCACAGCAGGAGTGTAAACTAAGCTCACAGAAGCTCTGTGGAATCAGACCAATTTAATTCCTATAATCTTTGACAAGCCCACCAGCACAGCACAGCCCTTCCATGATAGTACCGCAGAACAAAACTGTCTAATGCTTATCTGACAACGCCACTAAGGCTCCTTAGAAAAGTGATAGAAAAAAAATTCAAAATGAAACCACTTTTAATGAAAGTGGAAGCATAAAGAATATAAATGTGAAAGAAAAAGAATATAGATGTGACTGTAATCTTTACAGAAGTAGAAAGAGCCTCAAGTTTCCCCCCAGAGTGGCTAATGATTTCAAATTGCTGACCCTGCAGTTAGCAGCCAATGCATACCACCACTCCATCCAAGTGAGCGATCTGCTAAATCCACATGCAAGAAGCAAACTGGACAGTATGAGCCAAGGCTTGTAAATAATAAAAGTCCAGTATCAGAGGAGGTAATTGTATTAGAGCTTAAAACATGAGCACCTGGTCTGTGGGCTTTGTTGTATTGAGGTGGCTGGTGTGTTGCTGTGACGATGAAAACTATGTCAAATACCAACACGATCATCCAAAGTGTGCAGGTTTCTGCAGTTTTTACAGATTAAGAAGAGATTATGAAGAAGGAATAGGCTGTCCACTTCTGAGAAAACGGAAAACCTTGCTGATAGCAATGGAATACTGAGAGATACTGAAAAGCTCATGAATAGTAGCAGATCACTGTCAGAATGTCAGAAGATGAGACCCTCACGTCAGGAGACACTCAAAGTATGACTGCAGAAGAACTGACTTCTCCAAGTAGACTCGACCCTAACAACATGGATGCAGTAAAACTAAGGAGTAAAGCCTTCAGGACCCTGCATTTGCTGATGGGGTACAACTCAAACTAACAAAAACAGCTGCAAACATCCATTAACAATTGAAACCCTGAGTGTATGAATCTAGGAAAATTAGAAGTCATCACAAAATGGAATGCATAAAGATTGACTCCT